ACAAAAGGTATTGTATTACTTCTTTTTGTTTTGCACTGTGGCTTGGTAACGAGGACGAGAGGCTCCAGTTACAGGCCTTGTGAATTTTTAATGCAGCCGGTATACGAAGACAATCCTCGACCACACTACAGATGGAGACAGACGGAGAGTTCAGGGTGTCTAATTTACAGTCACCTTCTGAAGCCTGTTTATATTAGTGTGAATTTGCAGGGCTTTTTTTTAATTTTTTTTTATTTTTTTTGGTTCACTTTTAAGCCATCCAGGCAATCTTGGGCAGGATTTCTGTAGTTATTTTATTACTCATTTTTATTGTCAACAATTCAATACTGGAATATTGTACCCTCAGCTGGAGCTGTGTGGTGGCTTGACGCCCATCGCTGAGAGGAGTGCAAGGGCCTCGACCGATGACGCAGACAGCCAGACCCAGGCCAGCCTGCTAGCTGCAGCAGCTGAGGTGCATTTCAACACAACAACTTGGAACTCGGAGGACAACAGCTTCAGCCAGCCACGCTACACGGTATGTTGTACAGAATAAGTTTAGTGCCAGCATTTCTGTTGTTTGGTGGAACAAAGGCACAGTGGTAAGAACTGTTGCCTCATAGCAAGACCGTGATAGGACTGCCTGCCTGGGGCCTTTCTGTGTGGAGTTTGCATCTTCAACCCACTGTACAGCGGTGCTTGAAAGTTTGTGAACTCTTTATAATTATCTATATTTCTGCATAAACATCATCAGATTTTCACACAAGTCCTAAAAATAAATAATTAGAACCCAGTTAAAAATGAAACATAAACATTATTTAAGAAACTGAAAGTTAAACTAGAACTTCTTTTTCAGAAACAGATCCTGTCTAACCCTGAATGCTAGGAAACGCCTTGTATCTGTGACTTTCCTTCCCTCCATTGATTACGGTGACATTATTTACATGAACGCTCCTACAAGAACCCTGCAGATGTTGGATGCTGTCTATCATGGTGCACTAAGATTCATAACTGGCTGTGATTATCGTACCCACCACTGCACCCAGTATTCACTGGTTAACTGGACATCATTAACTTCACGCAGACTCTCTCACTGGTACATTTTCATCTTTAAATCTCTTCTTGGTCTGCTGCCTTCATACATCTCCTCCTACTTGTCTCTGCGTGAGTGCAGCTACGGAGTGCGCTCTCAGGACATTATTACCTGCAGTGTTCCCTCAGTGAGGACTGAACTAGGCAAAAGGGCCTTCTCCTACTCCGCTCCTGTTTCCTGGAATATCTTAAAAAAATATTTGAAGCTCTCGACCTTGACCTCTCTAAGTGTCTTTAAGAATCTGCTGGACTCCTGGCAGGGTCCAATGCAGACATGTTCCTGTTTTTAGTTTTCTACATTCGCCTTAGAATCTAGCTGTTTTTTGTTACCTTTTCCTTTTAGCCATCCTATTTGTTAAAAAACAAACAACAAAAAAACTGCAGTATCTTTTTATAACTGTTTATTGTTGTTACTGTTGTCCATTGTTGTCATCTTTCTTTGTTGAAATCAGGTCTCTCTTGTAAATGAGTCCTCGAGGCTCAATGGGATTACCTGTCTAAATAAAGGTTGAATAAATAAAGGTTGAATGAATTATACTTGGTCATTTATTTATTGAGTAAAATTATCCAAAATTACATATTTATGAGTGGTAAAAGTATGTGAACCTCTAGGATTAGCAGTTCATTTGAAGGTGAAATTAGATTCAGGTGTTTTCAGTCAATGGGATGATGATCAGGTGTGAGGGGGCACCCTGTTTGATTTAAAGAACAGGATCTATCAGTCTGCTCTTTACATCATGTTTGTGGAAGTGGATCATGGCAGGAACAAAGAAAATTTCTGAGGAGCTCAGAAAAAGAGCTGACGCTCCTCAGGCTGGAAAAGTTTACAAACCATCTCCAAAGAGTTTGGACTCCCCCAATCCAGGAGTGGTGAACCATCAAAGATCACTCCAAGAACAAGGTGTGTAATAGTCAGCAAGGTCACAAGGGACCCCAGGGTAACTTCTAACAACAGAAGGTCTCTCTCACATCGACTAATGTTGATGTTCATGAGTCCACCATCAGGAGAACTCTGAACAATGGTTCATGGCAGGTTGAAGGAGGAAGACACTGCTCTCCAAAAAGAACATGGCTGCTCATCTGCAGTTTGACAAAGATCATGTGGACAAACCAGAAGACTGTTGGAAGAAGGTTTTGTGGATGGATGAGACCAAAATAAAACTTTTTGGTTTAAATGAAAAGAGTTTTGTTTGGAGAAAAACTGCATTCCTGCATTCCTGCATAAGAACCTTATCCCATCTGTGAAACATGTTGGTCATAGTATCATGGTTTGGGCCCGTCTTACTGCCTCTGGGCCAGGATGGTTCACCACCATTGATGGAACAATGAATTCTGAATTATATTGGACAATTCTAAAGGAAAATGTCAGAACATCTGTCCATGAAGTGAATCTCAAGAGAAGGTGGGTCATGCAGCGACACAATGACCCTAAACACCCAAGTGGCTCTACCAAAGAATGTTCAAGAAGAATAAAGTTCATGTTTTGGAGTGGCCAAGTCAAAATCCTGACCTTAATCCACATGCTGTGGAAGGACCTGAAGAGTGCAGGTAATGTGAGGAAACCCACCAACATCCAGAGTTGAAGCTGTTCTGTACAGAGGAATGGATACAATTCTTCAAGCTGGTGATACGGACTGATCCACAGTTACCAGAAACATTTAGTTGTAGTTATTTCTGCACAGGGGGGTCACAGCAGATACTGAAAGCAAAGGTTCACATACTTTTACCACTCACAAATATGTAATATTGGATCATTTTCATCAATAAATAAATAACCAAGTATAATTTTTTTTAGTTTCATTTGTTGAACTGGGTTCTCTTTATCTACTTGTAGGACTTGTGTGAAAATCTGATGAAGTTTTAGGTCAAATTTATGCAGAAATATAGAAAATTCTAAAGGGTTCACAAACATTCATGCATCACTGTACATGTAGGTTTTCTCCGGGTACTCCAGTTTCCTCCCACATACCAAAACATGCATGTTAGACTGATTGGTAACTCTAAATTGTCTCTAGGTGAGAGTGAGAGAGTGAATGGTTGTTTGTCTTGTTTGTCTCTTTGTTCCTGTGATGGTCTGGAAACCTGTCCAGTGTGCACCTCGCCTTTTGCATCGCCTCTAAAGTTCAATTCAATTCAGTTTATTTATATAGTGCCAAATCACAGTACCACAACCTTATACAGTAATTCTGAAGCTGCGGGTTTGAGCCCAGATTCCACGAGGATGGCATGTGATGTAAAACCTTTGGCATATTTCTCATGCAGGTTTGCTCATTATGGCAACCCCCAGAGAGGGGAGCAGCTGAAAAAAAAAAAAAACAAGAATAAACTGCAACATCTGAGCTTATAATAATCTATTTTGATGCTCATTTAATTATAACCGGACAGCATGACAGCTTGGTGTTTAGCACTGCTGCCTCACAGCAAGAAAGCCCTGGATTCAATGCCCGCTTGGACCTGGGGTCTTTCTGAGTGGAGTTTGCATGTACTCTTGTTTGAATGGTTTTTCTCCGGGAACTATGGTTTCCTCCCAAAGTCCAAAAGCATTCATGTAAGGCGCTGATCACGCAGACTGGTGCATTTAGCAACCTCTGAACCATTGGTATGGTCTATCTATGGTCAGTGCACATACATTTAGAGAGCCACTAGACCTGCCTGAAGGAGGATTTTTGACTCCGTCACCTTCCTTTATGTTTATGACTGATGTGACGGCTGATAAAATACTGTACTACTGTAACTTTCTGACCTAACTTCACTTGAATTTCTGGGACTCTTTGTTTCCTGAACTCTAGATGAACATCCTCTGTTGTTATTAAATCATGCCCTATCACCTTTTATATTTTCTGTAAATGAGATTTTGTCTGAATGCTTTAGACTCAGCAGGAAACATCTTTGCACTGACAGCTTTGATAAAACTGCAGTCGTTTAATTCGTGCACCATTTCTTGTTGTCTTGTAACCCTGAGGTTCTGTGGGTAGCCTTTTTAGCTGCTCTGAAGGAGATTACCATGTCAGTGCCTGTTCTCTTCATTCACGTTCTGTAAAGTGGAGCTAAAAGACGGCTGTATCGATATCACAGTGCCGAGTACAGAGAAAGTGCTCGGTGTCAACGATTTAAATTGTGGCTGCAACTCAGTCTAAGTCAGGCAAACCTTTTGTACTCGCTGTCGCTTAATTGCCATTAATTTTACCTTCAATGAAAAGTGCTTATTGCTTGCACTGACATACAGTCTACCACAAGGACATAAAGTTCTCTCTCATAGAAGTGTTCTCATCAAAGGCAGCCATGTTGCAAAATTAGCTTTAGAATTTCATTGCTGCTTGAACGTCCTGATACACTTCAAAATTCTACAAATTTACGTATTGACCTTTTATTTTGTTAAGTGCCAAGGGAGACGTGAAAAAAGCTACCTTACTCCATGTTATTACATTTTAGAATAACTCCTAAGGCCTTTGCTTTTGTAGTGCTTTTAAACTTTTTTGTAAGGCCACAGAGCCACAGCACAGCAGAGGGAAACCTTGAGAAAATGTCAAAAACTTTTCTTCGTAGGGTGTTTAAAGCTGAGTATTTTGTAAAAGGTTGGAAGAATTGTTCTAGACACTTAAAGTTCATCCTACGAGTTAAGAACCTGATTGATTTTTAGTGTTGCAATAACTTATGTCTATAAAATCCACACATAGACTCCTTAAAGGACAGTTTTTATACATAAAACAAGGGTCTGCTGCTGGAAAGTAATGGATCGTGGATGGAGGATAAATCCAAATAAAGGAGACAAGAAAAAAAAAAGAAGCAGGATAGAAAAGGTTTAATAAACTTACTCCGACCTGACTCTAACAGAAAACACAAGAGTTGCAGTGGAAATGGTTTACATTGAATTTATACTTTTTAAATTCAAAACATCTTACTCTAAACATATCTGTTCCAGATAGTTCTTTCAATGACCTACAATTGAATAAAATGCTTTAATTTTTTACCATTTTTATGAGCTAACAGCTAGTACAAGCTTGGCCAAGACCAAACTGGACTTCTGCTTAATGATAACACAACACATGATTCATGAGAATACTATTTTATAATTCTTCATGTGTCAGTTTTGCTTTTCATGGTTTTCTTGGAGAAATTTTATATTATTCCTGCCAGAAGTGACGCTCCAGAACTGCTACAGCTAGCTGCTACTGCTATTCGTGCATATGGTTAGCCATAGCATTTATGTAAACAACTGTAATGCAAATATGTCAGGGACATATAAAGGCTAATAATAATAGGGAAATCAGTTTTGTTTGGTGCCTCCTCAGATTGAAGAAGTCCTTTGGATGAAGGATGAAACATCTCAGCAAAAATAAGGAACCGTCCAGATGACCTGACTGAACATTGTTGGATTTTATACCTGGATTACTGAGCATGAACTTTGGTGTTTTGAACTAATAAAATAGTGTTTGCTTGAGATGTTGCAGCATTTTACATTGGTCCTGGAGTTAGTGCAGATGAATGCAATAATGTTGGATCAGAGTGTCACCAGATATAATCCTCGAGGCATCAGACAAACACAGAATGGTGCTAATTAGAATAAACAATGGCAGTAAGGGAGAGTTCATTTGCAGTTTGAGAAGAATGAGAGAGAACAAACGAGTTGGTTCTAACTAGAGATAGTAGCTTATCTTTGGTGTCATTATTTTCCCAGCACCAATCTAAAACATTTGCTATTACATATTACATTTTACAAAAAAAAACAAAAAAAAAAACGGGTGGATTGTCACTGCAAACATGAACATTAACCTTATGCCAAAACATTAGCTGGTAAGCCATCTGTCATAATAGAAAATAAGATTTTTAATGCACAATTCCTGTCTCTGTCAAGGTGGATTTATCACTGCCTACTAACCTTTGGTGCCCTGGTCACGTATGTCCTCCTAATGCTGATGTAGACAAACGACAGGAGCGGACCACTATCTACCATCAATCTCACCCAATTACTGCTACGTCTACATCTCAGCTCCATCAAATCTAAGAGTACATAATCCTCTCAGCTAAAATGATCTCCACACATGGTCATGTTTACTAATACTTGAAGCTTCAGTGAAGCATCACCAACACAAAATGCCTCCAGTCAGGATGCTAACTCTATTAGCTCTTTTAGGTCAGAAAAGCTGGAGCTTTGGTGGCCGGAAATACAGGAGTTTGTACAACCTGCCATATTGATGAAGATCAACCAACCAACTAAAGTAGACTCAAATTCAACAACCAACAAAGCCAAGAAAATGTCTTAGGAGGCTTATCTTTTATGGTGAATTTCTGCATTCATGGTATGAACTATATTAGTTAACAGCATTTCAGGGTCAATGTATCAATAAGCTTTGTTCCAGTTTTCCATATTGTATGCTGAATCTGGTGGCTGACCTGCTTTCAGTCAGGCCCACCTGGAAACCCTGGCTGTGCCACATGTAGTAGCCTAAAACGATCTAAACCCCAACACATTTGGTTCCAAAACAAAAGCACTGCAAACATCGTGAAGATTAAAATGTGGGTTTGTGTGCAGAATTATTTATGATTTCTGATTTTCTGCTGACCTTGTTATGATAACCTACGGTGTGATGTGGCCCGTGGGCCAGGAAATGCCCAGGTCTGGTCTACAGGTGCATAAAGGATCTATCAGTGTTTTCTTGACTGTCATGGTATTTTTTTTCCTTCTTAGTGAATTCAAATCCTTTGAATGATTACACTGTTTGAATCCATAAAAAGCTATATTCACTGACTAGTGACATCATGATGATGTCAGTGTATGACCTCAGAGCTGCAGCATGATTATAAACTCATGTTTTGGTGGTCCCCCTTCTGTCATGCATTCACTCCTGCTTCTTCTTGTCTCTTTCGTAGGAAAACCAGCTGCGGTATCGCTGCAGTGCAATGGAGGATGACAATGTGCAGCAAGCTCCTCCTCTGCCTCCTCGCACAAGCTTTGAGAAGACAATCACTGTTGTCCGGGGCAACCGTAGCCTTGGTATGTTCTCCGTCTTTCTCATGGTGATGATGTCTTGGTGTGTGTACATCGCAGGCATGGCCATTATGACGCTAATAGGAGGTGGTGATGAAGACTGCCCTGAAGAGGAGTGGTGACATGTCCTCATACCTGAGCGATGATATACATGTGTGTCTGTGCGTGTGTTTGGGCGAGGAACAAATACAAGGGTGAAGAAAGGGTTAAGGAAATAATTTAAAATATCTAGAAGTCATGTGAAAACCCATAATATATGTAAAGTCGTCAAAATATGTTTTATTTTCCACTCTTGTAAGAAGTTGTTTTAACTGCGAGTCCAGTGTTCTGGTGGTGGAACATGGCAGGAAAACAGAAGGGTGGAAGCCTCCTGCACTTTTATCTAAAGACAGTATGCAAAGCATAAGAAAAACAAACATTTGTATTCTGGTCACATGCCACCTATGTGTGTGTGTGGGGTGGGGGGTGAAATTAAGTAAATGTTTGTGGTAGAGAAAATCAAGGTCACAGCAATAACTGCATTCTTTGATTTCATCTGTTTAAGGGTTCAGGTTATTGTGCTGAGGGGCTTAATGAAGCAACGTCTTCTGGAACTCCAGATGTTTAGGGCTTCACATATTTCCTTTTCATGTTTTGTTGATTTTGTGTTAACAACTTTAATCTAAATTAAAACCGTCAGTAATAGTAGCATGCAAAAGTTTGGGCACTTATGATCAAAGTATTGCAGATGACTTCGTTGTCAAATACCATTTTGTTGAATATAAGGTCCTTGCTTCTTTTTAAAAATGTTTTCCACAATAATAACAAATAAAATTGGAAGCTTATTACTGCCACCCCAGCCAGAATAAAATAAATCTATGTTATGTAATAATGTGAAAAATACCGTGTTCTAACAATACAATTATTCACATTCTTGCAAAACAGTTTAATGTCATCAAATATATAGTATATATATTGTATAGTACAGTATATTATAGTGTATAGTATATATATCATGCATGCAGTATATAGTATATTGTCCTAAAGTGATGGCTTACTCTTTAAATATAAAATTGTATTGTTATAGCACAAGAACTGTGTGTTTTAATATGAAAATATTTTCTAAGAACGTAAACAATATCGTTCAGATCATAAACTTTTAAACATATGCGATGACTCCTTTTTGATTTTGCTGGTGCGGCATCAATGGACTTCCATATTTTTGTGCAACAATTGTAAATATTTGCAGCCAGGTTGAACTCTTAATTTTGGTTTGGGTGATTTTTACACATTTTACTGCAAAAGGCTTTAGAATGTGTCAAACAGAGCTTGGATCATTGCAACATAAAGGGTTTGTATTAACAGAGAAGGAGTTGATACTTTTACATGCAGTATAAAAAAATTTACATTTTAGTGGTCAGAATGAGGGAAAGACTTTCTTCTGTTGACCGGTGGCAGTCAGTTATCACACCGATGTGTTTTAAAGTCTTTTAAATTATATAAATAAATATAAAATAAAATATTCTTGCAAGTTATTTTGCAGTTTTTTTTTTCATTTTAATTCCTCAACCAGTTCTACTAGCAAAACCTTCAGTTTTCTTTACTTTGACTTCTACCACACTTTCTAACATCTGTTTCAGTTCAATTTTAATTTCAATTTATTTGTCACTTTATGGAAAACATAAAACAAATAATGTCCCCAGGACGTGTGGCGTGCATGAAATTCCCGTTTTTATTTAAAGGCATTCTCAACTGAGGAATCCTAAACATATATCCGTCTTCTTAAACGTAATATTTGCACCTTCTAGCATTTCTCTATTCTATGAGAGTTCTTTAGCCCCATGAGCTCAGTACAAACTGTAACTTAGAGTCCAGTGAGATTATAGCCGCAAACAGAAACTAAACACAAGCTTTAGAATATGTAGTAGAAATGCAAATATTGAATTTGTTATGTCTGAGCTGTAGAAGCAAATTAAACTGATTGTAATCCACTGGACCTTTAAATTATGACGCCTTCATAAAAAAACATCCATACGTTTTATTTTCCCGTTTTTCCTTTCCACGTCACGGGGGAGCTGGTGCCAGTCTCCAGTGGTCATCGTGTGGGAGGCAGGTTGCGAATCCTAAAACTCATCTGAGCTCACATCACTCGAGAAGCCTTCAGATTGTTTTGATTGACACTCAGTTTGTGAATGTAACTCAGTGTTGTAGAGAAAAGCAAACTTCTTATGGCCATTCTGCCCAAACCTTTGCAGGTCTCCATAGGCGTAATCACAATATGTATCCCAAGTACTTGAAAAACAAGAAAATACCACTTTTTTTTTTTTTTCCATAATTTGTGCTATTTATGACATCTGTATGGTTGAATGTCCAGTTTCTGTGATCATTGTCTGTTTTTACACAACATGGCGGCTTTTAGAGCAGGAGTTAAGAGCAAAGAGTTGTCCTTTTTTTTCTTGCCTTGCCTATTTCCAACATTACAATAAGAAGCCCGTTCAGTCTTCACAGATACTTCCCATGTGTGAACCAGTGGGTGTAAAACTGTCAGTCTTAAAGTCACAGTTCAGCTCTTTTAGAGTGGGGCTTGTGGAAAATACATAAACTATTATAACTTACTGGATACAGATAGCTCACTGAATGATCTCCGTTTGAAGAAATAAAGTTTGATTCTGATTGAATTGATGAGGTCATAATGAGTTTTATGACCAAACTCAATTAAAGTCCAGTCCTAAACATTTTTAGCAGTTGATGGGAATGTTATTTTGCACTTTAGTCACCATCAGTTTTGCGAGAGCAGTGGCAGCATGAGCTAGCTGCAACCTGAGTACTTCCACTGGACTATTTCTGCCAAAACAACTGTAAAACATTATTGACAGCAACATAAATGTTAATAAAACTATGGTTTATACTGCTTTGAAATGTTAAAGATTGGACTTGTATTAAAATGGCGAGCTTGTTATTCCGATCAGAATTCATTTTCATGTAGTGCTCAAAGAGCTCTTTACAACTGATAACATAATAATTGTTCAATACCTTTCCACAAAACCCCATTTTAAAATAACTGAACAATCACTTTAAGTCGTCATAAGAAGAAGCGTTGTTGGGCTCAAAAAACACATAGATTTGATATAAAAATGGACATTTACCGTTTATTCTTTGTAAATGTTCTTTTAGCAGAACTTGTAATAGAATGTGTATTCTAATTCTGTGTCGTAGTCCTTCGGCCTGTTCGAACTTTGAAATATTTTTCATAAAATATTCAGAGTTCCTCTGTTTTTGTTCGGTTTGTCCTTTTTTTTGACGGTGATTGTGTGTCCAGTTTAATGTACTCCAGGCACTATGATTGTATTGCAATTTGAATGTAACAACAAAAACAAAAAACAATAAACTATATAAGTTAAAAAAAAACAACATAAGCACAAAGTCATTTTTTGACCACTCTCAAATTATGTACGACCATAGTGTTGTGGATGTGCATCGGTAGTCCGTAGCCGTGTTGTCCGCCTTAGACCCGACTGTCTAATGCCCCTCTTGGAGGTGTGAATGCGTGTGCATGAGGCGTGCACCCATGTTTGTGAAGACAGATTTACCTGCGTCTGCCTGTTCTCATTAATGAAGTGTTTGTGTAATCCACCTAGTGTCCAAACTGATAATGCCAAAGTCTGGTGTTTGTGTGAAAGGCATGTGTTGCTCCTTCGGTCACCTGTGTCCTCTGCCCTTTGCCGGCGTGAGTGTGTGTGAGTGTGTGTTCAGCTTAGGTAAGTGTGTCTGCGAAGGAGGACGCTGTGCAAATGTCAAGCATGTGTGGCGGTGTTTGTGTGTTAATCTGCCTTGTGTCTGTCTTGATTATGCTAATGATGGTGAGCGTCAGGTGTTTGTTTGGGCGCCTGTCTGTCTGTCTGGCGTGCAGTCAAGGCGCTCGTACCCTCCATTCACTCGTGCCTGTATGTGCTTTGTCTGTGCGTTGTGTGTTTGTGCACGTGTTGGCAGGGATGTCGGTGAGCGCTATCAAGGACGGCACAGGCATGCTGGTCCGGAGCGTGGTCCAAGGGGGCTCTGTTTGCCAGGATGGCAGGCTGGGGGTGGGGGATATCATCCTGGCCATCAATGGAGAGCCCACCTCCAACGTGAGCAGCGCCCAGGCCAGGGCCATGCTGCGCAGACATTCTGTCCTGGGGCCGGAGATGAGGTGAGGAGAGACCCACAGCAGAACATCTGTCTCACAGAGGTTCTGCTTGCAAAAAGAAACTTCCCATCAAAACTCACAAACACCGTTTCCTTATCAAGGAGACACACGGATGTACATCTGAGTCATAACAAGGTTTGGCTGAATAATTGCTCGCAGCAATCTGGGTTCATGGTCGTTAAAGTGTCGAACAATTAAATTCACATCCAGCACAACCAACTTATATTTTTCATCCCAACTAATGATCTGTCATAAAATCAAGTTCGCTGACGTTAATAGTTTAAAGACCGCGCTCGTTCACACAAGTGGGCTCATTTATTTCCGATAATTAAACATCTGCTCAGTTTGAAAATCAACCATCACAAATAAACCATCAGGACTGAGATGAAGCTGTCCGAGCTTAATGTAGCAAAACTTTCCATCCGGATGTCAGGCAGACATGCGCTGCACTTTCCGTGCACGCACTTTTAAATGATACAGAACTACTACAATTACCCTAATGATTTTATCCTACAACAGCTATTTTCAGGTTGGCTGAGTCTGATTAGCTCTGACAAGCAGATTGAAGCGCGTTGACTCCAAATGTTCATCAGTTGTGGGTGTTCTTCCTGTGATTACTTTCTACCAGTTTTGTTCAAATCTCTCACTCCTTCGTGACATATTTTGCTGACAGACTGACAAATAAACACACGCACACACACCGACAGGTGTTATCGCTCATCTTTCATGGTAGCAGGTCATCATTTTTCGCTTATTCATGAACTCTATGTTCGACAAAAAACCTAAATAAATAGATAAAAAACTCCCAAACTGGTGCACAGCAGCAGATGCTTCTCTAACTAACATCTTTTCTCATAATTTTGCCTCTTCATCAATATGTTAGCTAAATGTTCCAGAGTAGACAACAACAAAATTCTTCTCCTTTTATACAAAAAAAATAAGATTTGCTTCAAATCGAATCGTTTATTTAGGATGACCTGACTGCTGATGAACCTCATTGTTCCCTTGACGATCGGACAGGGAGCATGGAGCTTATTAGATGTTTGTGTAAGTTTTGTTCAATATTTAGATGAACTGCCGATGATTTGTTCTTCATCAGAGGTTTTATTTACCGATGCTTATTTACAGTTCTGAGATCTGTTACAGAGATATTAACTCCCACAGCTCTGTTACATCCCATGACAAAAACTAGAACCTTACAATCTGACATTAGTGAATAAAATATTTGTGGCATTTGAATAATTCTGTTTAAGACTTTCAGTTTCCATATCGGCCTATCAGTTATTTAGCACAGGTATAACAACAAAGTCCGTGCTCAATAATCCAGGTATACAATCCAACATTTTTCAGTCAGGTCATCTGGACAGTTTTTTTTTTTTTGTGCTGAAACGTTTTGCCTTCAATCCAGAAGGCTTCATCGGTCAAGGAAACACACAACACAAAACTGATTCTTCCCCAACAGCTTACTCCAAAGTGGAACAAACCAGTTATGTTGGTGCTAAGATGGTGTCTATGGTACGCCCCCTCCTCCATTGCCGGCCCTCTTCCTTATTGACAGTCGTGTCAAACTGTTCACCAGTTTGTCCGGATCGAAGGTGAAACGTTTCAGCACAAAAAAACAAAAAACTGTCCAGATGACCTGACTGAAAAATGTTAGCACAGGTACAATTATCACACATCATGAGCAGTCTTTTCCAACATACTGTAGTTTCAACACATTTTTCAGGAATAACACTAATTTTAAAGGAGCATGGAACGATCCCGAGGGAACAGAAAGAGCCGTGACCTGCAAAAAAAAAGAAGATGTTTCTCCTGGATCTTCAGCACAACCTTGATTTTGACGCTGCTTTGTGTTTGACTGAGACGCTACAGTCATGTTCACATCTGGTGATGGAACCATATATATGACGATATACACACACATATATCACACACACATATGTATATATATATATATATATATATATATATATATATATATATATATATATAAACTTGTTCTAACATTAGCAATTACAGCTGCACATGGAGAATACTTGTTTGGTTGATTGGGGATGTGCTCCACCTCCACCGTTCCTCTGCCCTTCTAAACACCCACTCATTTTTACTCAATCTTTTCCCATCTTCTGTTCTCATGCTTTAAACTCACACACACACACACATCCCTTCCACCATCACACACACACACATACACACACACACACACATACACAACTCTTCAATGGCCTAACCTCCAAAAACACCTTTTTCCTGCTTTGGGAAATATTTCTGAATAATTCATCACTCATCTCACCTTGAACACTGTACTTCAGAATAAAAGAGTGTTTTAAAGAGTCTCTCATGGATACACTGCACACAGAGTGCACACGCAGATGAACAAACACATGCATCCTCTTCAGCTCCCTCCACACGCACACACAAACACACACAGAAACACTCATTTGCAAACGCACACATCCTCCCTCTGCTTTCCTTTGACAGCACTTCAGACAATCGAAGAGCAAGTGGAGGCAGCTGAGCTGCTCTGACAGCCTCAGAGTAAGACACATAGAAGGATGAGGACTTGTCACTATCAAACTGCCTCTTTAAAACAAGACAACATGTCCGCACGGTTCAATCCCAACAGCTCTGTGCACAGGATCTAAATATTAAAGGACTAGCTTGAATACAACAGGAAGCTTTTTAAAACTTTTAGCAGATTTCAGCATTGTGTCCTCTAGTAGTGTCACACTATTGAATGTAGCGAGAAGGGAAGTGGGAAAGGGAAGGAGGGGCTTTAATTATGTCCTTGACATCTTTTATTGACATCACTGCATGAACAGGTCTATAATTATGCAAAACAAAACTTTTATGTCTGCCTAGAATATAAAATGCAACAGATTTGTTTCTTTCTGGAAACTGGCTCTAAATGTTGGTATGAACTTTAAGAGGAATTATAATATTTTAAGAAGATGGCCTTAAAGCTTCTTTTAGTTTTTGTACAATTTGATTTAAAAATCAGCCATCCATATTCACCCACTTCTTCCTTTCCGGGTCACGGGGGTCACCGGTGCACATATCCAGCAGTGACTGTGCGAGAGGCGGGGTAAACAATCAGTGCATTTTATTTTCTCAGTTGCACAAGAAAAAAAAAACAGCAATATTATTTACTTTTATAGAAGGAAATGTTCCAATATTACATATATGTAAGAGGCGAAATAATCAGAGAATTGACTTCTGTAGAAATGTTGTGAACAAACAATATCTTACCTGTTTTTGAGAGCTCTTTCAATGACCTCAGATTGGAGAAAACAGTGTTTTATTCTGACCAGATTAATAAATTAACAGTTACTGTGAGTGAGGCCGAGAGCAAAGTGGATTACAGACATCTTAAAACAACTCCAGTCGTAGTTTTTAGACGCTACTCGATGTTTTATGTTGCCGTCTCTGTCCGAACGTCTGTAAACCTTCTCTGTTCCCTCCCACAACTTCTGATCCGCTCAAGATAATTTAACAAAACTTCATACACATATGCATCATCTCTTGTTGGAGTGTTGCATTTAAGCTTTTACCCCCCAGCTTCAAGATCAAGGTCACAGATCAAGGTCAAATTTAAACAAGGTCTTTGCTTGTCCGTGTCATAACTTCTGATCAGCTCAAGATAATTTAACCAAACTTGACTAGGCAGTGCGTCACATAATCCTTTCATTAATCCAGCTTTAAGGTCACAAATCAAGGTCAAAGGTCTTTGCTTGTTAGTGCCTTTGCAATAGATTGCTGTATAGTAGTTTGTAGTTTGCTGACAGGCGTATGTTTTTCATTCAACCTTTATTTACACAGATAAATCACATTGAGCCTCAGACTCATTTACAAGTGAGACCTGTTTAAATAAACAGACAAAAAGTAATGAAAGTGACATATAATGTAGCATATTCTGTTATTTTGTTGTAGACTGGACAAATCTACCATTTTGTAAGTGGACTGTACTTATATAGTGCCTTAAGTGGCACGCACATAAGCTACTACAAGGTTTTTAGATCGTAGTTGTTTTAAAACAGCATCAGTCCACTTTCTTCCTCGCCCCAGTCAGACTAGGCATTAGCTCATCAATCCAGTCAAAGTTAAACTAGATTTTGGTCAAAAAGTTTTCTACAACAAAGACCGTAACACAATAATTGTTCAAAACCTTTCCACATAACCCCAGCTCAACACATCTGACCTGTTCCTCCAACATTTAATTCGAAATACAAATTTAGAGTCAAGTGGTTCAACTAAAAGAGAAATTATGAAGATGTGAGTGGGTGCTGTTAAAACAGCTATTTTGTTTAACCAAGAAATGTCATGTTTGGAGACAATGAGACACTGCAGAGCCTTGTCTTGTCAAACAGTTCAAGGGAAAGGAAAATATTAAGATTTTCTCATTAATTTACATTTGTCAAACATCTTTGTGCTTTCCAGCCATGAAAAGCTGAAGTGTGTCAGAGTCAACATGTCCCTCAGCTCTTGGAGCAGGTCATGGTTAGTTCTCACCTCTGGTTTAGTGTGTGTCTTAACAAACAAAGTAAAAATCCTGGAATTGCATTTTTGAGTTGTATACCTGAACTGTATCAAACAGGTTTATACTCATTCTCAACCTAAGCTTTCTTCTGAATAATATTATCTTCTTTTATGTATTAAACAATTTATTCTTCTGTAATGCTAGCTGAATCTAAAGATGCTATTGGTCCAGATCACTTCCAGGCCTTAAGAATGTGTTGATGGCTTGTCCCTTCTAAGAATACCCAATTACCATGAACCAAATACTGAAAACACAACTTCTTGGGCTTTTCCCACCACAAAGATCTGCTCTGCTCGCTGGCATGAAGGAACATTTTCTACATGTTGAACTTGTGATGAATTCGACCATGCATTAGGCCATGCTGCCAAAAATAATACTTAAAGGAATGTTTTTTCTTAGGCTTTGTCACAGTCGGGGAGGTTTGGATCCAGATGCAGGTAGATACAAGGATCTCGAGTAAATATATATATATATATATATATATTTATTAAACACAAACATAAAGCTGACAAGGCAGCAACACTTACAGAAACACAGGAAGGAAAAATCACAGTGAGCCATGAGGAGGACTGAGACATCTGACACGTATTCTGGATAATGAGCCGCTGGTGGAGATATGGAACCATATAATACAAAACTGAGTGGGAATGAAAGTGGAAACTCTTGGGATAAATGTTTATTAGGGTCAGGTGAAGGTGCCAGGCTGACTGGGAGGACCGGGGAGGCTTACTGAGGGCAAATGGAAGATGGCACAAGAAACACTGGGGAACAAAACAAGGCCTAAACCAGAATACTGGAAATGAAACTCTTAAAGATCTAAACTGAGCAGGAAAACACAGTTGAACCCAAAGAACAAAAATAAACCATGAAAGGAATGCTAAGAAACTACAAGGACTGAATCAATCACCAAGAAACAGACATGACAGGCTTGTCTTGTTGCTTTATTAGGACGACCATTTGCTGACGTCATCTATCACTTAACAACTCTAACTAATATTCTAACGTTCTTATAAGCCAACTGAGCTCCATCATTTCCGACCTATTAATACAGTTATTTTCTGTCAACTGAGATGTGAACAAGAGTTGTGTGGATAACATTTAATATGTTTTTTACCTCCCACCCCCCCCACACTTTCAGTGTAATCTACGTTCCAGCTCACCAGGTGGATGAATACCGAAGTCGCCTGTGTTTGCCCCCTCTGGCTTCCATTTCAACAGACAGTGCATCTTCTTCACCGACACTACCAACACCTTCTCCTGGGCCTGCGCTAGCCCCCACCAGGTCCTCCAGCCCCACAGTGTCATCAACGCTCAGACTCTCTGCCTCAGTCAAAACCAAAGCGACAGCACTGGACCAGAACACAGTCAGGACCTCTGCTTCATTTAAAGCGGTGTCTAAAGGCCCGGCCGCCATGCCTACGATCAGTCTAGCACCAGACACAAGGTAATAATAGATGCAAAGGTCTAACCTTTGTTTGACCTATGACCAACCTTTGAGACCCAACCAGGTTTCTCTTGTAAATGAGTCCTCAAGGCTCATTGGGACCTAACCTGTATAAATCAAGGTTGAATGAAAAAACCTATTATTCATGGTCACCTACGCTCTACTCAGGGCCCAGACTGATGTGGCACAGACAGAAAAACCTTATGGTAGTGGTCATGCCCAATTGGGGCCTCTCATTGGGGTGGCACAACCAGTATAAACCACAACTTAATCAGCTAATAGCTGCTTTTCACAGGGAGATCTTCATTAATCTAACAGCAGTTAGACATTTTAGTCTCACATGTTATTTAGTTCCAAAACATTTTGTGGCAAAATTCAACCATTCAGACCTAGTTAAATAGCATGTATCCCTTCCAGTGTGTGAAAAATCTCAAGTATTTCAGCTACAGTAACAATCAAAGCTGCCAAGGAGGGTGTAAACAGGGAAAACTAGGACATAAAAAGTACTAGTAATAAGAGACCAAAAGTACAATTCGATAAAGATGAATTGACCTGGGTACACAGTACTTGACTAAATTAAATCTACAATCTTGCACATATAACAAGTATTACATAGGCTTAGTGGCTTTATCTGTTTTTTTTAATTTTCTTAATAAAGCAAGAACAAAATGTTAAACTGTTGAATTGATATAATTGTAAATGATCTAATGGCACTGTCTTTAAAGGCAGAGGTGGCTAATAATGTTGCAAGTCTCATGAGTGTTAAAGGGCAATTATCGTTCACTTTAATTATCCGAATACTCGAGGAAGGATCGCTGCAGGAAGGAGCCAGCTTAGTGTCTGGATTTTCTCCGCTCCGTTCCTCTCTCAGTGTTGAATCTCTGAGTTATATTTAGCCCTTCGCTTATGGATCTCGGTGCTGACTGTCAGCAGAAATGAATTGTTTCACTTCTGTCTGTTCCTGTTTTCACTCCATCTTCAAGCCTCTTCCTTTCTCCTCCCACATTCACTCCTATTACTCTCTGCAGTCTTTTTGTCAGTCTTATCTTTCAATCACGTCTCTCTCTCTTTCTTCCTCTCTTTCAGTCCGTCTCTGCCCACATCTGTCTTTCATCTCACTCTCAATTGTCTTGTGCGGTTCTTTTACTCATTGTGCTTCTCCTCCCTGACTGGTTCCTCTCTTTTTCTCGTGGCTGTTTTCTTTCAAAATCATTTGTTCTGCCCTGTTCTGAGCATTAACTGGCTACAGACTCCTGCTGTGTAGATAGCACCACTATCACTCACATCCTTATTACAGCTTTACACCCTTAAACATATTCATGTGAAAAAATCTGCTCTTCCATACCTATTTTTACATACACTCACACAGTATACTGCATATATATATATATATATATATATATATATATCTATATATATATATGTATACTGTATATCATGGAGACTGCATGTATTAACATTCAACCACACACAAACACCACAAGAATCAACCTTACTTTGACTTCACTAGCAGAAGACTTATATATTTTCAAATCTATTTGCATTTTAACCAATGCATCGTTTTAAGGCCCAACTATGTAACTCATTGTAAACCAGAGTGACTTGTGTTTTTTTTACTTAAAAAACAGGAAATTACACTCAAATATCCATGGCTGTCTACTTTGATGTTTTTAAAAACTACTCCTCTTGGTTTGGTAAAAGCAGAGGTTACGGATGATGGATTATAAACTGAGTGGCAGCACGGTGGCGCAACTGGTAGAGCTGCTGCCTCTCAGCGAGCAGGTCCCTGGTTCAAACCCCAGTCCAGAGGCCTTTCTGGGTGGAGTTTGCATGTTCTCTCCGTGCATGCGTGGGTTTTCTCCCGGTACTCCAGTTTCCTCCCACAGACCTCTAAAAATACTAAAAATTGTCCCTAGGTGTGAGTGAGAGAGTGAATGGTTGTTTGTCTCTATGTGGCCCTGTGATGGACTTGTGACCCGTCCAGGGTGTACCCCGCCCCTCGCACAGTGATTGCTGGACATGGGTACTGGCGACCCCCGTGACCCAAAATGAAAGAAGTGAGTAAAAGAAAATGGATGGATGGATTATAAACGGAGAGAGAGAAGTTTTACTTCTAATCTACAACGCTCTCAATAACCAGTCTCCACCTTGTATTAAAGATCTAATTCTGGGCTATTCAACTGGTGGCCCGTGGGCGGGTGACTTCAATCTGGCCCACTTCATAAAAAAAAATATATATGTTGTGTTTTTGTTTTTTTGGTGTTTTTTTTTTTGGGGGGGGGGGGTCTGGGTTTGGGTTCTGTTTATTGCATTTATGATTCAATGCAATAAAATAAACACATTTAAAAGGTAACAGATCATTATAACCTTTGGTTTATTTACATAACAATTTTAATCGCTGGATATCCATCCGGCCCCCGAGCTGTTGGCTTTCAGAAACTGTGACCTCCTGAGCAATTTTGTTGAATAGGCCTGATTTAATTGCTTCATATTTTCCTAACATTGCACTTCCCAGTTTGTCAACCATTGCATAAAACAACTGGCAGATATTTCATGTCTGCTTGCTGTGATGAGTGCAGAAAGAAGCAGCTGAAAGAAAAATGATAAACAACAATTTGTCTAACAGAGCACTTTACTCTCAGACCACAGGTTTACTTGTGGTTCCCAGAGCTTGAAAAAGTTTCATTGGAAGTAGAGCTTAAGCTGAATAATTTATTTTTTGTCAAAGCATATAGTTAGGTTTGCTTGGGTTTACTGAGCTTTCCCTTAGTTATTCTGCCACTGCAGGAGAGGATGTTTTTACATGCAGTTATTGGTGTTGTCGCCCTGTGTTTTTATTTGTTTGTTTTTACATAGAAACCACACCTAGACAAATTCTTCTGCGCTTGTCTGTGTTTCGCTTATGTCCTCTCAAACCCAGCCGGTCGAGGCAGATGGCTGCTCGTCCTGAGCCTGGTTCTGCTGGAGGTGTCTTCCTGTTAAAAGGGAGTCATTCCTTTCCACTGTTGCCAACATGCTGCTCAGGATGAGAGGCTGAGATGAAGTAAAGGTTCAGTCCAATCTGCTGGTTTCCATAGACGATAACATTTACTAATTGGCATTTCATAATGTACTGTATGTGACTGTATTGTTTTATAATAGGAGCTGAATTGACTGTAATTGGATTAGAATCTGCATTTGAGTTGGATTCATGATTAAAACTAGTCCCTGAGAGGACTTTTGTTGTGCACAGGCACAATTTAAATATGCAGAATTAAATAGAAAATATTGTTCAAATATATGAATAGTTTATTAGCATTTAATTTGCATGACGCACAACAGTGAAAAGCAGCTAATTATTACATTGGATGAATAAAGTAAAGATGCAAAAGCTATTTTTTAAACATGACTGGGATTTTGAAGCTTCTAAGAATCGGTTATTTTTCATGAATGTCTTTTTGTCTGCTACTAGTTGGCAAGTCCCAAAATATCTACCTCCAAAAAATAAGGAAAATGGAAGAAATGGAGACACCGTGAAGGAGACAACGGACAAAACAAACATAGACGGAAGATTCCCGAGGCCAGATGTGCAGATAACGGTGGACGGTAAAGACGAGAAAAAGGACGAGCTCTGTTCTCACACCGCAGGATGTTGGGATCAGCCGAAAAGGTTAGTAAATCAGCAGATTCACTCCCGATTCTTAATGGGCTTCATTCAAATCTTTCCATTTTTGCAGGTTTTGGAAACTCTGCCTTTCAAGACCCGTGCACTCGAGAAGGCTTTACAGAATCCAAGAGTGCTCCGATTCTGTTCTCAGTAGGATTAGAGCCGCACAGCAGATTTACCATGCTCGAGTTTCTGACGTTCACAGGACGTGACTACTTTCTCAGCTTGTGTTTATTGCATTTGTGCCTCCGTCCCACTGGGATAAATCACTAATATGCCATGTACACAAGAAGCAGCTTTTGTGTTGCTCCCTTACAGATGATTGTTTGATTTAATCTCAGAAATTGAAACTGCAGTGCTAAGCAGCGAATAGTAGGAGACCAAAAAAACAACTAAACTAATACTACATGTGGATTTATGCAGTGATACACTGAGGACACATTTACCACCTAAACTTTAAGAAGGATCATCAACTGCGCCGTGTTTGAAAACGCCTCCTGCTCTGTGTTTTAGTGTGCGGCTCAGTCGAGCACCAGGCCAGTCCCTGGGCATCAGCATCATGGGAGGCAGAGGAATGGGCAGAAGACTGAGCAGTGGAGAGATGATGAGGGGCGTCTTCATCAAGCACATCAGCCCCGACAGCCCAGCAGCACATAATGGCTCCCTCAGGGTTGGAGACAGGATCCTAGAGGTTTGTGTGCATATATGGACCTGACATGTGTGTCAGTGGTTTATAGACACAGGAATAAGTATTAGACATATAAAAATAAGTATATATGTGTGGGTTTGTGTGCGATGCATTGACTATGTTTAGCTGAATTTAAAATGTTTATATTGATTTTTTTCCTACCGCTGTACTAAAAATAATGAAAGAAAAACAGTCAGACTTGCTTCCAAAGGAATATAACAAAAAGTGTAACCATAAAAGGTATTAACTATGGTTTAGCATAAAGGAATGGACAAAAACTTTTTTTTTTAATAAATGACAGTAGCATTCTTTTAATAAACATATGTTACCTACCGCCCTGCAAGTCAAAGTATTTATAATATATGTTGTATTAAAATGTATCTACGGCAATTTGTTAGCTCTTGAAGAATGTGTTGGAAATAACTCTCAGCCACAACCACACCAAATTTTAGCTCATCTGTAAAAAAGTCTGCGCTATAGCTATTTTGTGTACGCTAAGGCTAATTAGCTCTGGCGGCCATCTTGAATGAGTTTGACTCCAACTGTTAATCAGTTGTAGATGCATGTCTAATGATTAATTTTTAGTTTCTTTAAAATCTGTTCAGTAGTTTATAAGATATTTTGCTAACATACAAACAAAACACGTACACAGTGTGTACACTCCAGTTGGGGCAGCTGTGGCTGAGTGGTTAGAGCAGTCGTCCTCCAATGAGAGGGTTGGGAGTTCGATTCCACCATTAGTCACATGTTGAAGTGTCCCTGGGCAAGACATTGAACCCCTCATTAGCTCTGATGTGTGTCCCATCAGTGTATGAATATGATCTAAAGCTTTGATTAGTCTGTATAGATCTAGTAGAGTGCTGTATGAATGGGTGAACGAGGCACAGATTGTGTTGAAAATTGCTTTAAGTACCTTGATAAGGTAGAACAGTGCTTATAAGCACAGCCCATTTACCATTTACACATTAAATTACATGATTTCCCACCTTTCATGGTGAAGCAAACAGAGTAAATGCTGTAGCTGTGCTTTGACGTTGTCATCTATCATTTATTACTTATAATTTCTCGAAGAATATGAAACCGTAATGAAGAACTGTATTTCTTTAAATATTTAGAAAATGATGGCAACATATTTTGTTTTAAAAGGAAAAAGTTTTGAGATTCATGCTGTTGTATTGGAACAAAATGAAAAATGAATTCACGTCTCTTGCATTTTATTCTGTTTGTATTTATTTTTGTCTCCCCTACTCAACTGCAATGAACAAAAACATTCTTTAGTTTATAAAAACTGGACATAAATCACCAAAGTGGAAATGAAATGTGACCACTTTGACTGAGGAGTGGTTGTTGGTGGTAAAGCTGCTGACTTCAGAGACGATTTGATGACAAGAAAAATCGTGGGAAAACGTGCACGCGTGTTTGAGGTGACAGGAACTCTGCTGTAAAACATTCGTTTTTTCACAACTGTGTAGAGCAGAATGGCAGCAGAATGCACAACATGTTGAACCTCGAGGCGAGCAGGCTTTAACTGAACAAGACCATGTCAGGTTTCACTTGCGTCAGCCACGGAGGAAAAAATAATAATCTGAGGCTGCTGTGAGCACAGACTCAACAAAAGTGGGCAGCTGAGGGCCAGAGAGCATGTCATTCTGTTGTACTATTGTTGAAACTGCGTGTGCAGCACAAGCAGACAAAAAGAGTGGTCAATTGTTAGAAATGTTGCCATATCCTGTCTCATTAGTTGCTAAATCCAAACAGAGAATCTACAATTGGGCCCCATCCACACCTCTCCAGATATTTAAAAATGAATTTATTGCTTCATTTGCCCCTTCCAGTCACTCACAAACTTAGGTTTAGATTAAATTAGATCCAAAACCAAAGCTGAGATTGTTAAAAATTCAGTTTATTTTGGATCTGTGTGGACTGGAGGACTGGAGCGCCTCAGAAACAATGACCTGGGAGCTCATGCCCATGATCATTATGTGCCCTAAAAACAAACTAATACAGTACTCTTATTATTATTATATGCGTATGGTTCTGTTTCTCTTCATCCTGGGTCTGCCACTGTTAAACTTTGATTATATGCTGAGAAAGTAATTAGCTGAGAAGTTAAAGGTTGATTTTTTTTGTGTGTGAGAATCTTTAGCTAAGCATGTTCATGTGAACACTCTTGCCACCTAGTGGTATGGCATGGGTATGTCAGCATTTTTTGTTAAAATTTGTGAACGTACCAAAAACTTTTATAAACATTGTTTGGAAATATTGTTTTAAAAAGTATCTGGAATAGGGTATAAATGAGGCCTTGATCTGAAAAACTACATTTGTTGAGTTCTCTGAAAATCCAAACTGACCTCTAATAGCTGCATTGTAATAAATATTTTGATATAAACTGGTTTATTTGTAGGGTGAATTATTAGCCCATCTTTGACCATCTTTTGGAGTAATCTGCATAAACCACAGCTGAGCATGTGAAGACAGGAAATTAGAAGGTGCATCTGTTGGTGGTGGACTGAACCTCCGTATGTCAATGTGATTTTTGACTAATTAAGGATGTTTACTGTCTGTGGGTCCAAGCCAGAGTCAATACCTTAATGATCATTAGTTGTCTCTGTTGGTTTGTGTAGTCTTTAACACGTCTCTGATGTGAGGAGGAAGTTGGCTAAGCAGCCTCTTTACATAAAGCAGTGGATAGCGTACTGCTTCCAGACATTTACATCTACTGCATGTGCAAGAACACAAAGCACACTGTGCCATCCTGCACACTGCACCTGTAGCGTCCAGTGTAGATAGCTTTGTGCATCCAATCACATGTTATGATGCACAGTTTGTGTTCACAATCACTGTAGTGTTTTTTTTTATTCTTTCTATTTTTAAGTATCTCTGTATGACCCTTCATTACATCAAAAGGTTGCTACATCACTTTCTTATCAGTTTGAGATAAACATGGAAACAGTTGTTGTACCAGTTCAGCTCCTGAACGAGCCGAGACTCTTTGAGCTCCGAGAATATTCTAAACTCACGTTCCTGCTCGCTTTTTTTTGGCAATCCAACAAATGCACTTTGCATTCAAACTACAGCTGGCAAAACAAGCTACTTTCTGGATATATGTTCAATCTCTCAAGAACTACTGCTGAACTTGGGCTCAGTTTGTGTGAGTGCCCATCACTCTGCACTGGAATCTACTCCATGAACAAGTGCAGAGTTATCCACTTTCTGTCTGAAGGACTTCTAATAAAACAAAAGTTTTTCTTTTAAATAAATTATATTCTAGATCCCCAACAATTTTCAGTCAGGTCATCTGGACAGTTTCTTTTTTTGCTGAAACGTTTCACCTTCCATCCAGAAGGCTTCATCAGTCAAGGAAACACACAACGCAAAACTGGTTCTTCCCCCAAACAGCTTACTCCAAAGTGGGACAAACCAGTTATGTTGTTGCTAAGATGGTGTCTTTGGCATGCCCCCTCCTCTTGTGCCGGCCCTCTTCCTCGTCAACATTCATGTCAAACTGGTTCAAAACCAAAAGTTTTTAACCAGTTTTGTGTTGTGTGTTTCCTTGACTGATGAAGCCTTCCGGATGGAAGGTGAAACATTCAGCAAAAAAAGAAACTGTCCAGATGACCTGACTGAAAATTTTTGGATTGTAATCCTAGATTATTGAGCATGGACATTTTTGGTATATTTTAGATGTTTCTTGTCTATTGGTTCTGAGGCTTATGTTATACCTCCTGCTCAATACCACACATCCTGCTGTAGGCATCTACTCTAAATGCAATGCATGGCTATTTATTGGCTAAAACCAGCCAAAGAAATTGGCTTCAGAAATCAACAATTTGCTTCACTGCTAACTAAGAATCTGTATCAACCACTGAAAAACCTTTATCAGTCAACACATACTGCATAAATGTTTGCAACAACTATGCTGTAACATCTGTGTTCCTGGTCAAGGTGAGCGGTGTGGACTTAAGAGATGCCAGCCACGAGCAGGCAGTAGAGGCCATCCGCCGGGCCGGAGACTCCGTGATCCTCATAGTCCAGTCCGGACAAGACAGATCTCTGGTACTGTTCCTCAGACGCTACAAATACAACTTTCTCAACTTGTAATGCTTTCTGTAGTTTACGTGCACTCAGATTGTAAAGCAGCTTGATTTCTTCAGGCTTAAACAGTTTTGCATTCAGTTTCGACCCAAACGTTGAAAAGTTTCAGTGTGTATTGTATCAGACAGCATCAGGAGATGCACATCAATGTTTGTAACAGGAAAACATGATGTTCCCAAGGCAGATAAGATCTAACAGAATAGTATCTTTTTACTGATAATGTAATCAAAATTGTACTCAGATCTCATAGTCCTATAGGTTTTCATCTGTCTACTCTACATATTGTGTTTCGCACACAGTCTCCTCATCCCATCAATCATGAAAGACTATCTCCAACGCCGCTGTCCAACACACACAACAACAAGGTAAGGCTGCTCTTCTGCCAATGTTAGAGCTCACATTATGGACATTTGAGATAAATAGGTGTAGAAATTGCTCCAGCTTGAACAAAATAATTCTTCAGTTTTAAAGTAGAAAGATTAGTTGCACCAAAATATAAACTAAACACTGACACACAGAGGTAAAATGTTGGAACTACAATAATTTATCATTTTTCTCCCCTTGGTTTTGTTTCAACCACAATGACCAAAAGTTAACTTTTCACTGGAACAAATGACAAGCTGTCTTTTTTTTTTATTTCTAATTCCTGTTCCCATAAAGTTACTGTCGTTTGGCAGTGTTTGACAGGACTGCATCAAGACTGATATATATACACCAGATTATATATAGAGCGATGAGTCATTAACACCTACACAGAAACCCAAAAGGCCTCAAGAATAGGGTTTATTCAGGGGGGTGGAACATTTCTGTTTGGTAGCATTTTTCTGTCAAACCATGTGTGTTTCCCTTTGTGATCCCAGGAAGCAGAAACCCTCAGCAGTCTGTTCCTTAGTATCTCCCATGCAAACCCCTTCACCCCCACACCCTTTAAGGTTTGTGCATTTATTTGTGTGTGTGCATGTGTGTGTGTTCCCAGTATCTTAAAAGCAACCTTGCATTTAGATCAAAAGAACTTGCCAAAAAAAAAAAATAATAATAATAATGAAGGTGCATATTTGTAAATAAAACCCCTGCAGTTCAAAGTCCCTTGCAGCTACCTTGTTTGTTGAAGTTCTTTGTTATTTTTTCTTTGATGGAGATGCATTGTTCTAAATAGAGAACGTGCTCGTTTGAAGTTTTTTTTTTTTAATGCACTTGTAGGTTTGCTACAAAATAATGCATGATTCCAGCCATCTTTCATCTTATTTATAGCTGACATTAAAAACTTTTGTTCATTAATTCATCCTGTTCATCAGTGTTTCCCTCGGCTTCTTCAAGTGCACGGAACAAGCCTCGGGGGTCATCCAGCTCATGCCTGAAGGACCCCTAAGGCATCTTAAACTCTGCCTTTTCAATAATGCAAAAACGTATCCTCTAGGCACCTTCGCCAACATCCGATAGAGTGGATCGGAGAAGCCCCGTAAATGTCCTGGCACCAGTCGTGGCGATGCCTGAATATGGGGAAGACACCAGCAGGAGTAAGTGTAGATCATAAAGACATCACAGAGACATAAATACAGATACAGCGAAGCCAAGAGTGAAGGGAGACAATCCACATACACACCCATGACAAAAGAATGAGCTGATGCTGATGCTCGTAAAATGTCATAGAGCTCGCGGATGTTCATTTTTACAAGTTGGAACATTATATTAGACTGTTTTCATGACATTTACAAGAGAAACCAGCTGGACAGGACAATGAATTTGTTTTGGAAGCTTCCCAAGTGACCTGGAACTATCTAAGCAGATGCCAGGTTAACAGATGGACAAATTGTGGAAACACTAAGGAAATGTGCCTCAGTGTTTCCTTTATCATCTCATTCAGCAGAAACAAAAACATTCCATCTTCCTGAAAAGACGTAAAAGAAACACATCTGGACACACTATTCCAAATAGGCTTAACTCTAAAAACTGTGTTTTATTATTTTCTCCGACAGGTGTTGAAGCTTACCTGTATGAGGGAGCTTTAGATCAGAGAAAAGTTTTCTGAACTTACCCAAAGATAGGTGCAAATTTTGTCAGATTTATCTTGCAGAGAATAGATGAATTAGGCAAGGGCAGACAATGTGCCCCCCCCCCCACACACACACACACACAAATACACACACAAGCAAAATCGTTGTCTACATATTTTGCTCGTGCTTGTGTATTTGTTACCAAAGCGTCTTGTGAACCCACAGAACTGATTTTATTAGAACTTGCAGAAAGTAATCACTGTAAGTACCACTAAACTAATTACAGTTTGAAGTCAAACTGATTTAATGTGGTTGCCATAGTACGGTAAATCAACCTTAAAAATACAAAATTGGGTATAAATTGGTAAATTTTACAGATATTCACATACATTTATTGGTGATAGGGCAATCTACATATGTATCTAGCTTAGCTCAGCTTTACAACTCGAACCCCACACTCCCTGTTCTTTGATTTGAGAACGCTCCTCGGATGAGCAGCGAAACGTCTTCTGTTACAAAATAAAGTGCAGTTGTTGTTGTTTTTTTGGCTTGAACTTTTTTGAATCCACAATACATCTTCTGTACACCAACAGATTGTATAAAAGCTTTGTTCAAAGTTAAGGCACTGAGTTTTGGGAGCAAGCTCTGTCTGTTAGCAAAATATCATTTAAACCTCTGGACTCATTTTAATGAAACCTTTTTAGGAAACAGTCGCTGCATTAAAAACCTCAGTTATCAACATGCATGTCTGATGTCTCTGACCTATCGCAGCATCTGTGTAACTGTCTAAAAGATGTCAAAGACCAGAACTGTCTGAGCCTGAATGAAAAACAGATTCAAGTTGTTGTATTTGAAAACCAGACTCCGATCTTTGGTTGCGCTGACATTCTGGGCCCTCTTGCTCCTCATTGTTCCTCTGTGGTCAAGAATCTTGGGGTGTTTTTAGACAGTTTTGTTTAAATTTGAGAAGCAAATATCTGCAGTTGTCAAAACCTGTTTTTATCAGTTGTGTCAAATAGCCAAAGGAAAATCTTAGATTCCTCTTTAAGACCTCGAAACTGTCATCCACACTTTCGTCACCGCCAGACTGGATGACTGCAAATCTTTATACGTTGGTTTGGAACCATCGTCGCTCCATCGCCTGCAGTTAGTCCAGAAAGCTGCTGCACATCTTTTAACAGGAACCAGAAGGCAGGACCACATCACTCCTGCTTTAGTCAATTTACACTGACTACCTGCTCCTTTTTGTATTGATTTTAGGATTTCTTTTAAAGTTTTTAATGGCTCAGCACCCAGTTATTTAATGGATCTTTTGCACTTTTACAACCCAAACAGAACACTGAGATCCTCCAGTCAGATGCTTTTAGCGCAGCCGAGGGCAAAATTAAAACGTAGGGGGGGCTCAGACTTTTGCAGTGGCAGCACCCAGACTCTGGAACAATCTACCCATGCACATTTGTTCTGCAGAGTCCATGCAGTCCTTTAAATTTCGTCTAAAAACTCACATTTTTGCTCTGGCTTTTAACTCAAGTTTGGTTTGAGTTCCATCTGAACTTAATGTTTGATCTTTAATTTATTTTATTGCTGATTTCATGTTTGTGAAGCACTTTGAATTCAATTCAATTCAATTCAGTTTATTTATTTAGCGCCAAATCACAGCACCGTTGTCTCAGGGCACTTTACAGAAACATTCACATAAAAGCCAATTAGTAAAGTTCTCTATCTAAGGAATCCAGCAGACAAGTTGAATCTTGGCTTCGTTGCAGTCTCCCATCCTGAGCAAGCACAGTGGAAACAGTGGAAAGGAAAAACTCTCTTTTAAAAGGAAGAAACCTCCAGCAGAACCAGGCTCAGGACAAGTGGCCATCTGCTTTGACCAGCTGGTTTGAGAGGACAGGAAGGAGAGACAGATGAACACAGAATGGTAGGTCCAGGTATAGGTCCAGGTGTATCTGAAAGACAAAAAAACACACGTTAAGGATAGAAAAAATAATTACAAATACAAAACAGGTTGAGCAGAGTAAGTAAAGACAGCAGCAGAGTGAAAAGTGTGGTCAGTTTGTCCTCCAGCAGTCTAAGCCTATAGCAGCATAACTACGGGACAGCTCAGGTCAACAGAGTTTTTTTTTAAATGTGCTATATTAATAAAATTGACATTGACAATGACATTGTTACAAAACAACCTCTTTGTCGCCTTGTTTTCTGTATTTTTGACACTGTATTGATAGATTGACTGGAATCTAAAGTAGGGCTGAACAATTTTGGAAAATATTTTAATTGCGATTTTTTTACCTCAATATTGCGATTTAATATGCGATTATTTTTCAATGTGAACACAAGCAATAAAGTTGTTCCAGTTGCAAAAAAAACCCAGTTTTCAGCTCTGCTGCAACTCTGTCATTCTTTCTATGGCTCCAGGATTGCAACTTGCCTAAATGTGTGCGCGAGGGCATTCTGTTCTTATCCATTGTGCTTACCAAACCCAGACTTGGTCACTATATTAATGGGCATCATGTTTTTCGCTATGAACTCCGTTATTGCTCGAGTTATTTTTCCGCGTGCAATTTCAAATTGTGTTCATACAGAGTACTACCTTCGAACAGTTCGGTCAATGATCACTGTCGGATGGTGCTTTGCTGACTTTAAGCTGAAGCACTGGTCGTTGGCATTTTAGCCATGCAACTATCTTAAATGGCTGTGTGGTGTTTTTTTAAGTGTTGATAAACATTTGTGGTGTTATCTCGAGTAGTAGCAACAGCAAGGTAGGTTCTGCACAGTACATAGCGTTGCACAGCGTCTTCTTTTATGTAGCCAAAATAATTCCAAACAACGGCCGTGCTGCCCCTTTTTGGTACCAAACTTTCAGATGTGTCAGCTTCTGTCAAGCATGATGCCATTGTGCAACCGGTTAAAGCGCAGTGTTGACTTCTCTCGCTCCCTGCTTCTCTTTGCTCCACTCCGCTCATTCGCAAGTCATGTAACCAGATCACGTGACCAGTCAAATTGCAGCCTTTGCGATTAGAAAATCTTGATTTATCATATTATTGCAAATGCAATTAATTGTTCAGCCCTAAAAGTGTGCATGCATGTTTGTCTTTGTGTACATGGGCTAATCATAACAAGTTTAGACCTCATGAATAAATGATCAAATTATTATTGTGGTACTTGTAAGGAAGTCCAAGAAAGAATTCCCTTTGTGACTTTTATTTTTTTTACATGATATCTGAAATAATTAGCTTACAAACTGACCACGTATTCACATGGACACGTCACAAAGTGTCTAAAGTTTCAGAGACTGAGTTCTAAACACAAAACATGAAGTATATCCACAGGTCAGTGGAACATTTCAGGGCATACACATATTCCACACAGTATAAAATATATTATATATGTGCATTGAACAGAAACAACAACATTGTCCTCCTTTCCCCAAAGCAAGTGTGCTATCCCTGGCGAGCGTAATGTAACAACATACACACAAACCCTCCTCCAGGGTGTAACGCTTCGCCACATGCCTCCAAGTGTCGGTCATTAGATGTAGTAGGCCACACATTCTGGCTGAGCCACTTTATTCCTCCCCTAACAACCTCCTGTTTGTTAACTCTCTCCTAGAGAAAATGCTTCAGCGCTACGGCAGCCTGTCAGGGAAGCTCCACATGATTGAGCTGGAGAAAGACTCCGCAGCTCGTGGTCTGGGAATCGGCCTCGCAGGCAACAAGGAGGGCTCCAGGGCTCGCATGAGTGTCTACGTGGCAGACATAGACCCTCAAGGGCCTGCCGGGTTAGACAAGAGGATACAAGTTGGAGACGAACTACTCGAGGTAAGAAGGAAAGTAACTGAGAACAAAGCTTGGTCAACATTAACCATTGGTACCTTGGAAAAATAGTCAATATCAAGGTGGGGGATGTGAATTGGATATGACTAGAATGAGAAAGCTTTACATAACCACACAACAGATTTATTAGTCAAACTATTATTAGGAGACTGATTTGTGCTTGGCATTCAAAAGAGCAAGCTAGAAATGAGAAATCCAAAAACCTTATGGCATAGTAGAAAAAAGGACAGGCAAAAGATTACAGAAATAAACTAATAATAGGAGACACATGATTTCTGAGAGAAGATTTCTGGGGCGAGAGTATTCCCAAATGCTTAAAGGGCTTAGGAAAAAACATGACAATGTGTTTCTTTTAGATTAATGGACAGATCCTGTATGGCCGTAGTCACCAAAATGCTACTACTATCATCAACAATGCCCCATCTAAGGTCAAGATTATTCTTATCAGGTAAAAAGACTGAAAAAAAAAAATCTAAATCTTCATTGAAAAAAAATAGGGTTTTCACAAATGTCCTTTCTATTAGAAATAAAGCAAGTCAGCTGGTGAAAGAAATCAGGAGAGAGTGTGAGGACACCGTGGACTCCCAGCCAGACGCTGCAGAGGGTGAAGGATTTTCCGGAGACATCGAGCACATCATTCTACCTCAGGTATAAAATAGTCACTGCTGTTGCTTGAACTGGTTTTAATTTGTCTTGGCTGTCAGATCTAAAGCTGTGCATGTCACATCTCTCTCCAGGACCATGTAGGTCTGGGCCTTTGCCTCGCAGAGGACGAGTTCAGTAGTGGAGTGGTGGTCAGGTCTCTTATTCGGCATGGCACTGCCAGTAAGGTGGGACTTCAGCAAAAGTATTAGCATTGTACTATGTACTATCTTGACCAATACCATTGATATATCATTTATACAGGGATTTCATTACCAAAAATGTTGCAATGTTGACAATTATGATTTTTAAAAAGTGTTATATAAATTTGCTTCTACTGTATGTATTTTATATACACTCATGTTTGTTGTGTGTGAAATGACAATACTGAGTCTAAAGAGGAGGTCATGAGTCACCAGGGCCAGGACTAATTCCCTAGTTAGAAGTTTGTTGCGAAATTTACAAAACCCTAAAGTTTCTGACCAATCCTGATATGTAGGAACTGGATTTGAAGTAACAATAGCTCAGTATATACTTGTATGTTTTTTTAAATTGATTTAAGACAAAGTATGGTACAAAGTATATCGTATCATGAATGAAAAATAAATACATACATTTAAAAAGTGTATTGGTCAGAAATAACTAGTCAGATGAAAGATTGCATCAGGCATGGTTTTCTTGACCTGTTCCAGGTCAACTGCACTACTTCTGTCTTGATTTAATGCAAAAGTGAAAACAATGGATTTTTAAAAAACTGTGTCTTAACACGTTTTATTTTGCTACATAGTCAAACATGGTTTATTATATATACATATATATATATTTTTTTTTAATTTATATATATAAATATATATATATATATATACATATATATATATATAT